CTCTGACCCGGGAGGCATCTGCATTGAGCTAAACCTGGCAAGACAGGGCCTAATAACTGATCACTTGTTGAAGGACTATACAGATAAGAAGAGAATACATAGCTTAACATACACTTTTAATTTGATGTCTGCCTTTATGCTGAGGCCTCGTCATGTGTATTATTACCAAACAATTATTTGTTATGGGAATCTATTTCAATGTTCAATGTAAACACCCAATTCCAGGAATTGTGTGGCTAACAATCTGTAAGCTGTATGTCACGTTAATTGGTATACACAAAGCATTTGATTCTATGTGTTCTTTTTGTAATGTGCTAAATTATAGTCACAAATAGGAAACTGACGTTTGTTTGAGACTGTGCCCAACAGCAATAAAACACTCATTGCCTACTTTATTATTTGTTTGTCAATAGGTTCAGCGGCATCAAATAGACCACAGTTAGCACATAGGGAGTCCAAATGTTATTGTATAATTGTAACTCTCATCAATCCATCCATACATCCATACACATTTATATTGGGGCTTGGACAACAAATGCAAGGACCAACTTATGCTTGTTTTTTTTTTTTTTTTTTCTTTGCTTAACTTCATAAACAAAGATTTAGGAAGTGGATAGTCTATGTCTGCTGCAGACTCGCTGGTGGCTAACAAGGCCAATGTAGGACAGGCAGATGCAGCCGTAGCAGCTATAAGGGAAAATCTGGTCTGACTTTGATGCCACAATATCACGGTCATTTCTCTGTTTCTTTGTATTCTCAATATCTGCCCTGCATTCATTCTTGAAGGAGGAGACAGCCTTGTATCTCCAAGTCTCCTGATCGGAGACTAGAGCAGACCAGTGATGATGGTCAATGTGACATGCATGAAGTGATTTCTTCAGAGAGTCCTTGTACCTCTTCTTTGGTGTTCCTCTGTTGCATTCATGATACAATATAATCCTTTTTCTGTACCAAGAAGATCCAATACGACAAACTTAAGCAAGTGTGCCCATATCAATACCATCTATGCTACAGACATTAAACTTTCTTGATTCTAGCCTTAAGACCCACTGCCTCCTACATCACCTGCCACCACAATACCTGAATCAACCATCCAGTGCACCTGTACCTAATGTGCAGTTAGGAACACTAGATGTCTGTTCCTCAAATAGCTCACTTGTGAATCACTTCTCAAGAAATGTCAACTACCATGGCCGCTTTGATTCCTGTATGTCAGCATTAGGATTATGGCAGTAAGAATTCAGGCAAATCCTGATGTTACAGTGCAAGAACACCAGGGAGAAACATTTACCAGTTAATAGCACGTATGTGAGCAGATATCATTAGCACTACGCATTCTTTTAAATTGTTTGCAAGAGCCATAGAGACATATATGCAACATGAATTCTATATTTTTATTAACTGGGGCGTAAGTCAAGGGACAATAGTCAACTCACTTTTTTAGCAAATAAACCCCTCCTATTTTGTTTTGTTTCCCTTTCTAGAAAATGTTGCAAACTCACAGAACTGAGATTGATGCAGCATTAAAGCAAAGTCTCCTTGCCAGCTAGAGTGTGAACATTGCCTATAAAATTTTAAAGAAGATAAATTTACTGTGAACACTGATTTATTAACACATCACAGCACCTTGCAGGTAATTATTCCCTAGAATCAAGACAAGTTAATTTACCCTTTAAAAGAGATTGCTTGTTCCCCATTTTCTTTCTTTTTTTAAAAAAACCAAAAAACTATAGTTTATTTATAAATTGTATGTTATACTTGCACATGCTTAATTTACTTGAGCTTGTCAGGTTTTTCAAGGCTGCATACAATATTTTCTACAAAAATCCATAAGATGATAGGAAGCTGTTACATGTTCATTCTTTATTATATCAGAGGATTTTTTTTAGATATGCTTATTCTGGGTATGTAACAAAATATTTTTGTCTCACTTTATTAACCCCTTCAGGACGGAATCAATAGTGCACGTTCTGATCAAAACAAAACGTAAACAAAAACTGGAATTTGCGCTATATGTCTGTTCACCCGTAATTCACCGCTGTCACATTAAGTGCACCCGCACTTATTATATATCATTTTGTTCAGGAGAAACAGGGCTTTAATTTATCATTAACGATTCATATATGGAACATAATTTATTATGAATAAAATAAAAAAAATGTGAGAAAATAAGATTTTTTTTTAAAATTTGTATTTCCATCTGACATTTTAGCTGTAAATGTCATAATACTGTTAGGTTTTACTGCAAAAAAATGCACATATTTATAATCAGTGATGTCTCACGAGCAGAGCCAGACTGGGAAAAAAAATTAGGCCCGGGTATTTTTCAATCAGAGCGGCCCTCTAAGTAGGGGGTGGGGCTAGAAAGGGTGTGTTTTGTCATCACTAATGACAAGCATGCCCCCACTCAAAGTGAGCATGTTGGCTCAATGCCCAGAGCCCCGCTGAAGAGCTCTAGCATTAGAAAAAGGCCCTGTATTTGTTCTGCGCAGCGCAAGCAAATTTAATTACATGCTTGCGCTGTGTTTGCTTTTAAATTGTCTCTGGTGTCTCCACAAGTGGGATACCAGAGGACAAGAGGGCTAGGAAAGTGTATGGTGCATGTATTTGGAGCCTTCTTGTGGGACTGCGTGTGTGTAGAGTGTGGTATTGTGTAAATAGGTCAATTTCATTTGTGTTTGTGGTGTAATATGTGTGGCTAGGGGCAGTGTGTAGGAGATCTAGTGTGTAAAGGACTCAGAGTGTGTATAGGAGATTGTGTGTGTGTGTGTAGAGGATTAAGAGTGCATATAGGGTAAGGTATCTAGCGTGTATCTGGAGCGTAATGTGTTTAGTGGTGCCGTGTGAGGGGTGCTGTAGTATGTATATATATATATATATATTTGGACGTATTGTATGTGTGAGGGGCGCAGTGTGTGTTTGTGTATGTAAGAGGGGTGCTGTGTGTGAGGGTGTTTTTATCTGCCGTCACATTCTAGGTTCGAGTTTTTTTTTTTCTGTTAACTCGCTGAGAGTTATTTTATTTATTATATATATATATATATATATATATATATATATGGGTGTGTGTGTTGTATATGTGTGGGAGTATGCTGTGTGTGGGTGCTGTGTGAGTGAGGGAGCAGTGTCTGTCTGAGGGAGCACTGTCCGTCTGACGGTGCTGCGTGTGTATCTGGGTGCTGTGTGTGTCTGAAGGTGCTGCGTGTGTCTGAGGGTGCTGCGTGTGTATCTGGGTGCTGTGTCTGTCTGAGGGGGCTGTGTGTGTCTGGGTGCTGTGTGTGTCTGAGGGGGCTGTGTGTGTGTGTCTGAGGGTGCTGCGTGTGTATCTGGGTGCTGCGTGTGTCTGGGGGTGCTGTGTGTGTCTGAGGGTGCTGTGTCTGTCTGAGGGGGCTGTGTGTGTCTGGGGGTGCTGTGTGTGTCTGAGAGTGCTGCGTGTGTATCTGGGTGCTGCGTGTGTCTGAGGGGGCTGTGTGTGTCTGGGGGTGCTGTGTGTGTCTGAGGGGCTGTGTGTGTCTGAGGGTGTGCTGTGTGTGTCTGGGGGTGCTGTGTGTGTCTGCGTGTGCCTGCGGGTGCTGTATGTGTCTGAGGGTGCTGTGTGTGAGTGTGAATTTATTTATTTAAATTTTAAATATTTTATATTAATAATTTTAAAAAACAAGTTATATCCCTCCTCCCTTCTTACCTTTAGCCTGGGAGGGGGGGGGGGAGCCATTCTGCCTAGGGGTGAGGAGCCATTCTGCCATGAATGGGGAGCCATGCTGCCTTCCCTGGTGGTCCAGTGGTGAGAGTGAAGTCTAGCCTGCAGGCTAGAGTTCACTCTCGCGAGATCTGAGCATTGCCGTGGTAACAGCGGCAACGCTCAGAATCCCACGAGAGGACCCGGCGGAGATGCTGGCTAGAGCTCCACCGGGTCCTCTCCTCCCTCCCTCCTTTCCTCCCTCACTCCCCAGCCTGCAGCCGCCTGTAACAGTGCCTGTGGGCTGGTGAGGGCGATCTTTGATCTCCCCATCGGCCCATGGAGGCACACAGCAGGGCTGGCGCTCGGGTAGCGCTGGCCCTGCAGGGGCTGACAGGGGAGATCCTGTGATCTCCCTGCCGGCCTCGGCCCCACGGCCATCATGGCCCACCGGGCATTTGCCCGGTATGCCCGGTATGCCCGATGGCTAGTCCGGGCCTGCTCACGAGTACAACAGTACCCCCCATTAACAGGTTTTATGGTGTTTTGGAAAGTTACAGGGTCAAATATAGAACGTTCCATTTTCAAATTGAAATTTGCCAGATTAGTAATGTTACCTTTGAGACTGTGTGGTAGCCCAGGAATGAGAATTACCCCCAGAATGGCATACCATTTGAAAAAGTAGACAACCCAAGGTATTGAAAGTGGAGTATGTTTAGT